TGATTTTTGAATAGTGATATGATGGGAAATGTGTAATTGAAAAAGAAGAAAAAATTATTGATGTGATGGAAAATATTATTTTATTGAAGAATGTGTGGTTGAAAATGAGAATTGATTTACTGTAAAATTTGAAAATAAAAAACAAACAGGCCTGAATGTTGCAAAATATTATTTTTGTTGTAGTGTTTGTTACAATTTGCACTGTTTACATTTGAAGAAAGCTACTTATACAAATCAACAAAAAATATTTAATGGATTTTTAAAGTCGAAATTGTTGATATTTAGCTCCAAATCTCAATAGGAATTTGTTTCCTTTAAGATAAAGAAACCAAATATGAAAAAGATCTTAGCTGACAATATCGCAATAAAGTATGTGGAAATTACTCAAAACCAGAATTTGAAAGATTCAATTTCAAAAATCAGATTGAAGGTTTCACTTTTCAAAAATCAGATATTTTATTTTTAAATATTAATTATACAATTTTCATCACCAACTCTAATCATTTTAATTTCAATTTTCCTCATCATTCTCTCTTCTCTTTCTGAGTCTCTCTTCTCACTCTCTCTACCTTATCTCTTTTCTCTGCCACTCTCACTTCTCACTCTCTCTACCTTCTCTCTTCTCCAGTCTCCACTCTTTTCCCTCTCCGTCGGTAGCCCAGCCTCCATGAGACGGAGCAGCCTCATCCGGCGGCGTTGTGCACAAACATGAAATAGTGGCGCTTATTCGTGCGAATCGTCACTGCATTTTTTTTTTATTTTTGAGTTTTTTGCAATTTTTACGAGGGAGTCGTGATTTTGTGGTGGCTGATGGACATTGTGGAGCGGCTGATGGCTCGCAGTCACTACTGCGATAGCAGCAACGGTGGGGTAATGGTAGGTTGTGCCCTGTTTCGTGATTTGGCGATGGTTTTTTTGGTGGTGGGGTGGTGGATTTGGCTTGGTGGTTTTGTTGGATCAACGGTGGATTTAGTGGGGTTTGTTGGTTTTGGTAGTGGCACCAGTGGTGGATCCGATGGTTAGTGGTGATTTGTTAGTGGTTGTGGTGGTGAGTCTTGGTGGTCGTTTTGAAGTTGAACTTGGTAGTTTATTGGAGGTTGTAGCAGCGAAGATGGTAAAAGTGGTGATGTTGCTTTCGGTTGGTGCCATGGTGTACTGTGGTTGGGTGGTGTAGATGGTGGCAGTGTTGGTGGTGGACAGCGGCGGCAATGATGGTAGGGTTGGGGATTTTTTTATTTTTTTTTTTGGTTGTGGGATGGGAGGGGGTTGGTGGTGGAGGTTCTGTGGTTTTAATGGTGGTGGTAGATGTGCGGTGGTTGTGTGTTGATAGTGGTGGTCGTGGTGATGTCGGTATTTTTAGATGAAGATTTGTTGTCGAGAAGTGGTGGTGGTGGTGGTGGTGGTTCCGGTGACAGGGTTTCGATTGCCATGTTGTTGGTGGCAGTCGAGAGGTGGTAGTCACAAATGTTGGTGTGGTCACAGATTATTTGGTTGTTTGTGACCATTAAATTGATTAATTTATGACCAATAAACAATATTCGACTAATGAAAAGATAAATTGTGACAGAAAATAATATGTGACCTAAAAAATTGTTAATTTGTGATCGATAATTTGATAATTTGTGACTGTCTAATAAGTTGTGACATTTAATATTTGTAATTTGTGACCTATAAATAAATTGTGATGTTTCAATTTTTGATTTGTGACCATTTATAAATTTTTTGAATTGTGACGTTAAAATAATTTGTGATATATAACATTTGTGATTTGTGACCAATGAATAATATGTGACTTATTAATTTTATAAATTTGTGACCGATGAAAAAGTTGTGACCTCTAAAATTTTCGATTTGTGATTGTGAACTAATTTGTGACTTATAAATTTTTTTAATGTGACCGAGAAATAATTGTTAACCAATTAATTTATAATTTGTGANTAAATTTGTGATCGATGAAATAGTTGCGACCTATAAATTTTTTGATTTGTGATAGTGAAATAATTTGTGCTCAAATTATATAGAATTGTGACCTTAATATATTTAATTAATAAAATACATGTTTAATTAAATAATTTATAAATAAAATTTAAAAAAGTCTGAAATTTGAAATTTTAAACCTTGATCTCTTAAATTTGAAATTGGTAAAACTTAAGCTCTTAGTTATGTAATCTTTCCTTGCCATAAATCCCAAAACCTATTTTCATTTCCTCTCTCCCTATTCTCTCTCTGTTTTAACTCCATCTGAATCTCTGACCATGTCCAAATGGACCAAACCCTTGTTACTTTCTTTAGCTCCAGCCAAGCCAACTATGAACCGCCTTCAGGCTTTAGCTCGCCGTAGCCGTCCGTGTCTCCGCCACTGCCTCCACCCTTGCTACCGCTGACGCCAACTGTGATAATGCTTTGAAATTTGGGATTTATTAAAACAGATTTGGACTGTCCTAACTCACCAACATTTCTCGATGCACCACTGGATACACACACATTATTGTATGTAGACACTGAATTTCTAATATACTAACAATAACAGATTCACCAAAATATATCCATTCGAACATTTTGCAGACAATGAAACATTTGCACACATGAAAATAAAAAAGTTGACATAAACATTCAACTTTTATTTCATTGATAATTAATATGGATGTAGAAAATTAACTTACTCATTTGGCATCTAGGAAGAATAGTGAATAGTTTCCCGGGGTGGCAGCAGCCAATACAGATTCCACTAGTACAGGCACAGGATGAACAACGGAATATTGCACATATGGGGACGCATTCTGAATTAACACTGCAACGTGGATCTTTCACTTCAGCACTCACCAATGGACCTGCAATAAATTTTATTTGTAGCAACTTAAGAGTGTAATAAAATATCAAAATGGAACATCGTAATTGTGAACAATTTATATGCTATATGTTGTGAGAAATATTTATGGATGAAATAATACGATTTTGAATTAAGAATAATATTTGGAAATTTTTTTATTGGAATCGTTTAGGATTTAAATCGCGGGCACAGTTTGAGTTAAATTTAAAAAAAAAAATCGAAACTGATCATCACCATTGTACTTACTTACAAAACACACATATATGGAGATGGAGAGATAGAGAAAGAGATAGAGAGAGATAGACATGTTAAAATAAGAAAGAGAACTGCAATCTCGTCAGTGTGTAATACGGATAAATTGCTGAATATATGATATTGTAAACTTATTTGTTATAATATAGGATTTCTATAGTTCCCATTGTACAAACATTTTATAAAATAAACAAAATCCTTTTGCGTATTAAATTATTGTACTCATTATAAATAAATCTATTTTCTTTATACATAACATAACATATCATAAAATAATTATTTGATATTAAAAATCTAGTAAATGCATTTTTCTTGATTATTCAATTTATATAAAACTCAGGATTATGATTTTATTTTTTTTAAAATTATTTAAACTCAGCCGTAATGATACAATGTGATCAGTGTTCTAAAAGGCGTAATGTGTGGCGATGCGTGGAGGCCAAGCTATGGGCTAGGCGAGTTTAGGCAAGACATGTGCGTAAAAAAGCGTAAAAAGGTGTTTTCTTATTTTAATATTATTTTAATTTTTAATCAATTAAAAATAATACTTACTAAATATATAAAACAGATTTATAGGAATTTTAT